CAAGTCTACAGACGCAAAATAAAAGGACATTCCATATGGATTGTTCGGGAGTTTACAGCACAGCATGCGGTACCTGTAAACAAAAATATATTGGCGAAACAGGGAGAAAAATTAGCACACGAATCAAGCAACAACAAAGGCTCAGCCGGAAATTGGATACCGAAAGATCCGAGTTAGATTAACACATTACATAGAGTGGACATGACATCAATTGGAAGGCAACAGAAAGAACGGCCTCATACGGTTAAAACAAAAGGAAGAGGAAGTGTATGGAGGCCATTGACAAACTTGGAAAAAAAATCTAAAGAACACTTCGGACAAAGTGCGTTCAACTAAGTCGCTATGTGCAATAAGACATTTTTAAAGCAAAATTGCTGTACATATCCTGTTCGGTAGACTGGGTAACCCTTAAATACGAATTCTTAACAGCCTAAAAATAGAAAGTAGGTCATTGGCAGCCAGGATTGCGATAAAGGCATTTTTTGCGAGTACTGGAGCTCCCGGCAAAAGCCGAAAGGTTATTGGTTTTCAATAGAAAGGACAATACGATCCAGATGGGGAAAGAAACCCAAGACGCGACGAAATTTATCGTCCCTGGATACATAACAATATATTAAGATACTTGCTAATTGCGAAATAAATATGTGGATTTCTGGTCCAAACTTCCCCGAATCACTCAGTCTCAGATAAAAGAAGAATAAACGGAAATAGACTGTAGAAAGATGCAAGGCCCTACCACATTTCCTTCAGCATCAATTTCTTCAAGGTCATCCGGATTAGCGGGCTCTTCTTTATCTTCCGTCTCCTGCAGATCTTCCTCTTCTGCCTCATCTTCACCTGTCTGAGTATTGTAGATAAAAGACAATGAAAATATAAATTCCCCAAGCTACCATGTATTTTGCTTTAGTGTGCTCTTTACTATAGGAACATTTTAGTTCTTAATTCAATGCAATGTAGATACAATGTAGTTTTTAGTGATAAGATAGCAAGAAAATGATATTTAAGCATGAAGGGAAAACATCTACATCTAAAAAATGCACAGACTCCACATTCATCGCGTATAAGGTCTGGTCAAACTATAAGAATTGAATTAAAAGCTACCAAAATCAGCACCATTTCCGTATTAAGTAGGCATGATGATGTTAATAAATTCAATCTGGCTCTGTATCTCAAAAGGTAGTAGCATCCAGTGTGGGCTGTCTGGGTAATCTCAGCACAAATAGCATTGAGAATTGAAGCCGGAAAATGCAGTTAGATATTCTACCATCATGCAACACCTCCACACATGCCAGTGGGTCACAGTGTATACGCGAAAATCAAAATGAATGTCAGGAAGGCGACTTTGTATTTTATAAGATGTATTCAGCCTATTTCGTTTAAGCTGACGAAGGACCGACAGTTGAATTTTCTTACGATGATATAAGTAGACCACACATTTCCATTGAATTTCACACAGCCATGCTTTCCAAAAGGTATTAGCATCTAGGGTGGACTGCAGTTTCGACGTCGCCTAAGTCTCATTAACACCTCCAGCAGGACTTGGACCATAACAATGCAGTGTTTAATATCAACACGTTAATCACGTCAAATTCGATTCCCGCTGGAACGCTGATAAGACTAGGGAAGGTCGAAAATCTGGATAAGAATATCCTTTTGGGAAGCAAGGTCAATGGAAACGTAAGGTCTACTTATATCATTGCGCATATAGTTGATTTATCAGTAGTCTCTAAGACCGACTTACAAACGAAAAACTTATATTTTTTCGTTGCCCGGATTCGATTGCTGTTGGAAGTGCTGAATAACCACA